TTTAATACGTATATGTGTGTGTATGTGTATATATATATATATTTATATATATATATATACACACACACACACACACACTTTTATTTCCTATATATGTATAATATATTATAATTAAAGCATTTTATAATATATTATACATATATAATGCATATATATGATTTCATTATAAGTGTATTTTGAGATATATGTGTATATATCTCATTGTACCCTTATAATGAAATCATATATATGCATTATACAGGGAGTGCAGAATTATTAGGCAAGTTGTATTTTTGAGGATTAATTTTATTATTGAACAACAACCATGTTCTCAATGAACCAAAAAAACTCATTAATATCAAAGCTGAATATTTTTGGAAGTAGTTTTTAGTTTGTTTTTAGTTATAGCTATGTTAGGGGGATATCTGTGTGTGCAGGTGACTATTACTGTGTATAATTATTAGGCAACTTAACAAAAAACAAATATATACCCATTTCAATTATTTATTATTACCAGTGAAACTAATATAACATCTCAACATTCACAAATATACATTTCTGACATTCAAAAACAAAACAAAAACAAATCAGTGACCAATATAGCCACCTTTCTTTGCAAGGACACTCAAAAGTCTGCCATCCATGGATTCTGTCAGTGTTTTGATCTGTTCACCATCAACATTGCGTGCAGTAGCAACCACAGCCTCCCAGACACTGTTCAGAGAGGTGTACTGTTTTCCCTCCTTGTAAATCTCACATTTGATGATGGACCACAGGTTCTCAATGGGGTTCAGATCAGGTGAACAAGGAGGCCATGTTATTAGATTTTCTTCTTTTATACCCTTTCTTGCCAGCCACGCTGTGGAGTACTTAGACGCGTGTGATGGAGCATTGTCCTGCATGAAAATCATGTTTGATCTTGAAGGATGCAGACTTCTTCCTGTACCACTGCTTGAAGAAGGTGTCTTCCAGGAACTGGCAGTAGGACTGGGAGTTGAGCTTGACTCCATCCTCAACCCGAAAAGGCCCCACAAGCTCATCTTTGATGATACTAGCCCAAACCAGTACTCCACCTCCACCTTGCTGGCGTCTGAGTCGACTGGAGCTCTCTGCCCTTTACCAATCCAGCCACGGGCCCATCCATCTGGCCCACCAAGACTCACTCTCATTTCATCAGTCCATAAAACCTTAGAAAAATCAGTCTTGAGATATTTCTTGGCCCAGTCTTGACGTTTCAGCTTGTGTGTCTTGTTCAGTGGTGGTCGTCTTTCAGCCTTTCTTACCCTGGCCATGTCTCTGAGTATTGCACACCTTGTGCTTTTGGGCACTCCAGTGATGTTGCAGCTCTGAAATATGGCCAAACTGGTGGCAAGTGGCATCGTGGCAGCTGCACGCCTGACTTTTCTCAGTTCATGGGCAGTTATTTTGCGCCTTGGTTTTTCCACACGCTTCTTGCGACCCTGTTGACTATTTTGAATGAAACGCTTAATTGTTCGATGATCACGCTTCAGAAGCTTTGCAATTTTAAGAGTGCTGCATCCCTCTGCAAGATATCTCACTATTTTTGACTTTTCTGAGCCTGTCAAGTCCTTCTTTGACCCATTTTGCCAAAGGAAAGGAAGTTGCCTAATAATTATGCACACCTGATATAGGGTGTTGATGTCATTAGACCACACCCTTCTCATTACAGAGATGCACATCACCTAATATGCTTAATTGGTAGTAGGCTTTCGAGCCTATACAGCTTGGAGTAAGACAACATGCATAAAGAGGATGATGTGGTCAAAATACTCATTTGCCTAATAATTCTGCACTCCCTGTATATGTATAATATATTATAAAATGCTATATATATTTTTTACTTTTTAGCAGCTTGGAGGACTGCCTGCCACTGTGGACACCTGGCGGTCCTAATTTGCAGAGGGGGCTGAGCCCAGACAGTCCCCCTCAGAAGAAGACTGAGCAGCAGCGGGGGAACTGTGGAGATCAGTAAGTACATGAGGGAGACGGAGGGAGGGTAGGGGTTAATTTTTTTAAAAATTGTATTAATTTAAACCAAAATTATAAGTATTTTTTTTACTTTAACTGAGTGCCTCGACTCTTCGAAGCACTCAGTACAGGGAGAGCGTTAGAATCCTGCCTGAAGGCTTCCGATGCTCTGCTCTACACTGCCGGTCACCACGTGTGTCAACCTGGAAGTGATCGCTAAAGGGGGAGCAACCACTCGGGTGCCCAGCAGTGAGGGGGCGTATTTTATGATGCCTCGCTTCCAGTGCTCAATTTATCCGCGGATGTATGAGGTACATCCGCGGTCCTTAAGGACCGTTTTCTATCAGACGTACCTCATACATCCGCAGTCTTTAAGGGGTTAAAGCAGCCTTTCTCAATTAGAACAAAACTGGGGTTCTGCTGCAGATTTTGCAACATCCAAGATGACCACCACTCCTTGCTGTTCCCAGAAGCTGAAAACAGCAGAGATCGCAAGAGCATAATCTTATTCCCGCAGTCGGCAATTTCAGATTCACTCAGTTTGTTGCAAGCATTGATACAGGATGGTTGCATGTAGAAAATCTCTCATTATTTTAGCTATTTTTGTTGCTTCAATCAGTATTCTGTCCAATATGGCTTCTCATGGGAGGAAATGATTTGTTTTAGTGTACTGCTTTTTAGATTAGTGCCCAGTGTGGTATCTGAGGATAAGTTGTTTTTAGAGTCAGACTGGGAAGCTTAAGAGTGAACTGCTGAAAATATCTGAATATCACACTTTGCCCTAACTTTGCCCTAATTTACTTGGGCTGTTTTTTTGTTTTTTATATATGCATATATCCAAAAAAAGGAAAAGAAAACAAAAAAAAACTCTGCTTCTGCCTCAAAAATAAAAATATTTTTGCTTTGCAGTTATACACCAGTGTATTTTGGACCAAACCGAACTAAAAAGCACAGTTGCTTTATTTGCTTACTATGAGTTGAGAACAAAAAAAGTATTGCTTCTACTCATGTATTGTTTTTCAGAATCTGATTGATATTACTTCTGACAGTCTACTTGGACAAAAATGTAAAGATGTTTTTCTAATTACTAATTTCTAATTTCTAATTTGGGGAGATTTAAAGCAAAGAATAGAGTTGTCGCAGTGGGCAATCAAAGTTCTGTTACCATTTGTCAGCAGATATTTGTGTGAAACTGGATTGCAGCCAAAACAAAGCATTGAACCAATTGCAGATATGCGGATACAATTTGCCAATACAGTACAAAATTTTTAGGGGGTTATCCACAATGTAGGTACACTATGTCAAAGGATTCCAATGGAAAAATGAATTGGAAACCACTGGTATAGAATAAAGGAACACTGTAGTCACCAGAACAACTACAGCGTATTAAATTTGTTCTGGTGAGCAGAATCATTACCTTCAGGCTTTTTTGCTGCAAACACTGTCTTTTCAGAGAAAATGCAGTGTTTACATTACAGCCTAGTGATACAATGACTGGCCACTCCTCAGATGGCTGTTAGAGATCCTTCCTGGGTCATGGCTGCCTAAAATGCATCCAAACATTCAGTATCTCCTCCCTCTGCATGCAGACACTGAACTTTCCTCATAAAGATTCATTGATTCAATGCATCTCTATGAGGAGATGCTGATTGGTCAGGGCTGTGTTTGAATCCTGCTGGCTCTGCCCCTGATCTGCCTCGTTGTCAGTCTTAGCCAATCCTATGGGGAAGCATTGTAATTGGATCAGGCTACCACTTCTGAAGATGTCAGCAGACTGCTGTTTTTCCGAGTCTAACAGCATGCAGTGTTACAGCTTCAGGATTGAATACAGTAAGATTTTTACTATATTTATGGAGGCATGAGGGACCATGTGGGGCTAGATGGTGGTTTTAGCACTATAGGGTCAGAAATACATGTTTGTGTTCCTGACCCTATAGTGATCCTTTAATTGCTTGGGATAAAATTAGTATTGGTATTAGGGATTTTAGCTGTGTTACAAGTTTATTTGCTAAACACCGAATTTTGTCTGAATGGACAAAGTTTAGTGAAAATGTCTGAATTCCACTCAGAATTGCAAAATCTCATATTTACTAATGCCCATTCAAAATTCAATTCAATATAATTAGATAAGCTTTTAAATGTATTTAATATTTTTAGATACACTTTTAACATGCTTTATTATTATAAAAAAATATAAAAATGTTATAATATTTTGATATATTGAAATTTTGCTATTCTATGTTATTTGGGGTATTTTAACCCCTTAAGGATGGCGGGCGTGCTATGCCGTCCTTGGGGACCCGTCTCAAAACGCCGGGGGGTGGCATCGTCCCCGCCGTCCTTTCTACTTACCCAGTCGCCGGCGATTGTGGTGTGGGGACTCACCTGTCAGCCCAGGCTGAAAAAATTAAATTATATATGCTTAGATCATTTATATTTATTATATATATGATTTAAGTATATATATATATATATATATATATATATATCATATATATATATATATATATATATATATATATATATATATATATATATACACATATACATACATACACATATATACACATACACATACAGTTGCAAGAAAAAGTATGTGAACCCTTTGGAATGATATGGATTTCTGCACAGATGTTTCATAAAATGTGATCTGATTATCATCTAAGTCACAACAATAGACAATCACAGTCTGCTTAAACTAAAAATGCACAAAGAATGAAATGTTGCCATGTTTTTATTGAACACACCATGTAAACATTTACAGTGCAGGTGGAAAAAGTATGTGAACCCCTAGACTAATGACATTTCCAAGAGCTAATTGGAGTGAGATGTCAGCCAACTGGAGTCCAATCAATGAGATGAGATTGGAGGTGTTGGTTACAGCTGCCCTGTCCTATAAAAAACACACACCAGTTCTGAGTTTGCTTTTCACAAGAAGCATTGCCTGATGTAAATGATGCCTCGCACAGAAGAGCTCTCAGAAGACCTACAATTAAGAATTGTTGACTTGCATAAAGCTGGAAAGGGTTATAAAAGTATCTCCAAAAGACTTGCTGTTCATCAGTCCACGGTAAGACAAATTGTCTATAAATGGAGAAAGTTCAGCACTGCTGCTACTCCTGTAAAGATGACTGCAAGAGCACAGCGCAGACTGCTCAATGAGGTGAAGAAGAATCCTAGAGTGTCAGCTAAAGACTTACAAAAGTCATTGGCAAATGCCAACATCCCTGTTAGCGAATCTACAATATGTAAAACACTTAACAAGAATGGATTTCATGGGAGGATACCACAGAGGAAGCCACTGCTGTCCAAACAAAACATTTCTGCACATTTACAGTTTGCACAAGAGCAACTGGATGTTCCACAGCAGTACTGGCAAAATATTCTGTGGACAGATGAAACCAAAGTTGAGTTGTTTGGAAGAAAAAAAAGGCACAGCACACAAACATCAAAACCTCATCCCAACTGTGAAGTATGGTGGTGGGGGCATCGTGGTTTGGGGCTGCTTTGCTGCATCAGGGTCTGGACGGATTGCTATCATCGAAGGAAAAATGAATTCCCAAGTTTATCAAGACATTTTGCAGGAGAACTTAAGGCCATCTGTCTACCAGCTGAAGATCAACAGAAGATGGGTGTTGGGGTGTTGCAACAGGACAATGACCCAAAGCATAGAAGTAAATCAACAACAGAAGAATGTACGCCTTCTGAAGTGGTCCAGTCAGAGTCCTGACCTCAACCCAATTGAGATGCTGTGGCATGACTTAAAGAAAGCAATTCACACCAGACATCCCAAGAATATTGCTGAACTGAAACAGTTCTGTAAAGAGGAATGGTCAAAAATTACCCCTGACCGTTGTGCACGTCTGATCTGCAACTACAGGAAACGTTTGGTTGAAGTTATTGCTGCCAAGGGAGGTTCAACCAGTTATTAAATCCAAGGGTTCACATACCTTTTCCACCTGCACTGTGAATGTTTACATGGTGTGTTCAATAAAAACATGGCAACATTTCATTCTTTGTGTGTTATTAGTTTAAGCAGACTGTGATTGTCTATTGTTGTGACTTAGATGATGATCAGATCACATTTTATGACCAATTTGTGCAGAAATCCATATCATTCCAAAGGGTTCACATACTTTTTCTTGCAACTGTATATATTAATATCAAAGTACACGTAGAGAAAACAGAGAGAATAAGACCCAAAATGGTAACAGTGCCAGGGGCAGCCCGTCATCTTAAGTACCGCAAAGAGACTCCAGCGGTCTCAAGGGGCTTAACCCCAATGTAAACAAAGAACAAAAAACAGAGGGTAGATGCTACTAGTCTCAGTGCATACAAAGTTCTGAGGTCAGATGCATCTCCTGGATATATGTATAGCAGTGTAGTTGTAACTGTATACTGGCTGAAGAAATGTAATAAATATTACACTATTGAGACCAAGAAATAATAAATAAACCAAAGTATATACAAGTGATACAAATATGCAACCAGAGACAGAAGCCAGGTAGGGGTATAGTACAAATCTGTATAGGGGTATGATACCCAATCCTGGATTACAGCTTTATTAGAAAGTATATTGGCTACCTTGGAAAG